ATTCATATTTATGATGGTTGCAGTGTCCTGGGGACACGTGATCACCTTTTATGACGTTATGACAAGTAAAGTCAATGGCAAAGTGAGATCCGCTTAATAATCATATTAGTAACTTAACAATTGCAGTGATTCACTTAACAACTGTGGCAAGGAATGTTGTAAAATAGAGCAAAATTCACTTAACATCTGTTTTGCTTAGCAACAGAGATGTTGGGCTCAATTAGGGTCGTATGTTGAAGACTACCTGTATTAGGGAGAAAAAGAAAACACACGGCAAGGAGAAAAATGTCCTGTAATCAAAGTCATACATGATCAGCCATCAACAACACTGGGCTTTGGGGGAAAAAGTCAAAATTAATCAGAGCAAAACGAATTTGAGTTAAAAAATATTGCATCACTTTTTCATTTAAAAGAATGGTTTAAAATCAGTAGAATAGGTAGTTCTCAATGTACAACCATGATTGAGCCCAAAATTTATGTTGTTAAGTGAGAATTTGTTAAGCGATTGTGATTAGCAGCAGATTGTGATTAGCAGCAGCTGACTACAAACTAGGTCCTGCCACCTTAGGGGCATTATGCAAATAATGTACAAGTAGTCCTCAACATAGGGCCGCAATTGAGCCCAAAATATATGTTGTTAAGTGAGACATTTCTTGAGTTTTGCACCATTTTAACGACTTTTCTTGCCACATTTCTTAAGTGAATCGCTGCAGTTGTTAAATTACTAACACCGTTGTTAAGTGAATCTAGCTTCCCATTTTGACTTTGCTTGTCAGAAGGTCACAAAAGGTGATCATATTACCCCAGGGACACTGCAACCCTCATAAATATGAGTCAGTGCCCAAGCGCCTGAATTTTGATCACGTGACCATGGGGATGCTGCAATGGTCATAATTGTGAAAAATGGTCATAGGTTACTTTTTTTCAAGGCTGTTGCAACTTTGAACAGTCACTAAATGAACTGTTGTAAGTTGAGGACTACCTGTAGATAAACAGAGGAAAAAGAAAAGCCTTAAAAAACAAGTTAGGCACAGTAAAAGGGAGACAACAATATGCAGTTATAAAAATGGCAGCACATCATTGCGAATTACATGACTAAAGTGCCACACCTCCAGATTGTAGAAGACCGACATAAAGTATAAGAACAGCTTTCTGAGAGAGATCCTGAAATGGCTAGAGAGTTGGATCTTGTTTCAACATTTATGGTGGCCAGAGACTTAGGACATAGGTGCAGTCACACCGTCACTTATAGCCCTGTACATCATTTCTCATTTTGTTAAGGAGTTCAGAGAGATAAACCTATACAGATTACAGACAATGTATAATGCTGTAGGTGGTTAAAAAGAAATTGGACTTAATCAAGACTCTTTGAGGGAGATGGGCAGCTCAGAAATGTGATGATAGATAGAATGCAATGGATCTATCATGTTAAATCAAATGATAGGGCTCTTTTACTTTTCTGTCTTCGCCACTGTAACAGATAGAAGATAGGAGAGAGAGAAGCATAGAGACACAGAGAGAGGGGGAGGGAGAGAGGGGGGAGAGAGACATAGACACAGAGAGAGATACAGAGAGGGAGAGAGAGAAGGGAAGAGAGACAGAAGGGGGAGAAAGGGAGACATAGACACACACACACACACAGGGGGGCATAGAGAGAGAGAGAGAGAGAGGGAGAGGGGGAGAGAGAGAGAGAGAGAGAGAGAAAGATGTCAAGAGGGTTTTGTGGTTCCAGGTGTTTTTTAACAACCGTCTTTCTGCCCTAATGACCAGCTGACTAGGTGTGGCTAGGGTGGTCATGTGACTGGGTGGGAATGAGTGACGTCGAGTTGGCCATGCCCACTCAGGTTTTGTGGCTCCTGGTGTTTTCTTTTCTGTGGGAAACGGGTCCAATGGCTCTTT